GGTCCACTTCGGTTGGTGAATGATGACAAAAATCCAAATTGCAAAGTCAAGACAATCATTGTTGATGGAAGGCCACACCTGTGTCTGTTTAGTATAAGACATATCTTTCCAGATGAAGAGGTCACATACAACTATGGGGATTCCTCTTGGCCTTGGCGTTTAAGGGTGAGTCTCTCAAAGACTTTATCACTGAAAGTCAACCATGTTCTGTATTTCATGAATTTTAGTTTTTTATATGATGCAGATTATTAAAAAAAAAAAGTCTGCATTTCTGCTTTATTTTCATAACTCGTGTGTTGGGGGATGGGCATGACACTGACCTGAAATGTAAGGACAGTTCTCCACTACGAGGACCGTCATGTCAGGGTTAGGGTTTTAGGAAAAGCTGTTGCTTTGGGTATGTGTCAGCTGCTGCTTTATTGTGGATAAGCTGTAGACCCAATATGCACTGGAAAGGAAATGGTATGTTGATGTTTATAATGTTATCTGACTTTATAGACAAGATCTGTGTGTCAGCCTTCTCCTCCTCACATGTTTTATATGTCTGCTTTGTGCACGACGAAGCCATGAAAGGGCCACTAGATATTAAGACTTTGGTTGATTCTAGAATTAGTTGCGGTGACCAATTAGCAAACATCCTTGCCTCAGTGTTGTACCTGTCTTTCTCATAATTACAGGAATTGTGTGACGAGACATCAGTGGCTGTGACTGAATGCAGTGTGAATCCTTCCTCATCAGTGAAACAGAAAGTAAGTGCACGGATGTTCCTTCATTGTTTTCTTCTCTTTGACACAGGCAATGTTAAAGGGTTAGTTCACCTAAAAATGAAAATTCTGTCAGTATTTACTCACCCTCATGTTGTTCCAAACCTCTATGTGTTTATTTGTTCTGCTGAACACAAAGGAAGATATTTGTATATGTATTTTTTCCTACTATGGTAGTCAATGGGGAATGAGATCTGTTTGATTAAAACATTCTTCCAAATATCTTCCTTTGTGTTCAGCAGAACAAATAAACACATAGAGGTTTGGAACAACCTGAGGGTGAGTAAATACTGACTGAAATTTCATTTTTGGGTGAACTAACCCTTTAAGTGTAGGATGGTTGGGCATCATACTCGACTGGCTGACGCGGACTGTCGTCTTAAAGACGCTGTTGTGACGTCTCAAATTCAAGTAAAATGTACCTTGCTCAGTTCATACATTTTCATAACTCGTGTGTTGGGGGATGGGCATGACACTGACCTGAAATGTAAGGACAGTTCTCCACTACGAGGACCGTCATGTTAGGGTTAGGGTTTGAGGAAAAGCTGTTGCTTTGGGTATGTGTCAGCTGCTGCTTTATTGTGGATAAGCTGTAGACCCAATATGCACTGGAAAGGAAATGGTATGTTGATGTTTATAATGTAATGTGTTTTGGATTTATTTGACTTTATAGACAAGATCTGCATGTCAGCCTTCTCCTCCTCACATGTTTTATATGTCTGCTTTTTGCACGACGGAGCCATGAAAGGGCCACTAGATATTAAGACTTTGGTTGATTCTAGAATTAGTTGCGGTGACCAATTAGCAAACATCCTTGCCTCAGTGTTGTACCTGTCTTTCTCATAATTACAGGAATTGTGTGACGAGACATCAGTGGCTGTGACTGTGTAGGAGTGAGGGGTAGGGGGAAGGGGTAAGGGGTGGGGGATAGGGGTAGGGGTGAGGGGAAGGTGGAAGGGGTGAGGGGAAGGGCTGAGGGGTAGGGGGAAGGGGAAAGGGTAAGACGGATAATTGGGATTCAGCCTAAGACTTTGGTTGATTCTAGAATTAGTTGCAGTGACCAATTAGCAAACATCCTTGCCTCAGTGTTGTACCTGTCTTTCTCATAATTACAGGAATTGTGTGACGAGACATCAGTGGCTGTGACTGAATGCAGTGTGAATCCTTCCTCATCAGTGAAACAGAAAGTAAGTGAACGGATGTTCCTTCATTGTTTTCTTCTCATTGACACAGGCAATGTTAAGTGTAGGATGGTTGGGCATCATACTCGACTGGTTGACGTGGACTGTCGTCTTAAAGACGCTGTTGTGACGTCTCAAATTCGAGTAAAATGTACCTTGCTCAGTTCATACATTTTCATAACTCGTGTGTTGGGGGATGGGCATGACACTGACCTGAAATGTAAGGACAGTTCTCCACTACGAGGACAGTCATGTCAGGGTTAGGGTTTGAGGAAAAGCTGTTGCTTTGGGTATGTGTCAGCTGCTGCTTTATTGTGGATAAGCTGTAGACCCAATATGCACTGGAAAGGAAATGATATGTTGATGTTTATAATGTTATCTGACTTTATAGACAAGATCTGTGTGTCAGCCTTCTCCTCCTCACATGTTTTATATGTCTGCTTTGTGCACGACGAAGCCATGAAAGGGCCACTAGATATTAAGACTTTGGTTGATTCTAGAATTAGTTGCGGTGACCAATTAGCAAACATCCTTGCCTCAGTGTTGTACCTGTCTTTCTCATAATTACAGGAATTGTGTGACGAGACATCAGTGGCTGTGACTGAATGCAGTGTGAATCCTTCCTCATCAGTGAAACAGAAAGTAAGTGAACGGATGTTCCTTCATTGTTTTCTTCTCTTTGACACAGGCAATGTTAAAGGGTTAGTTCACCTAAAAATGAAATTTCAGTCTGTATTTACTCACCCTCATGTTGTTCCAAACCTCTATGTGTTTATTTGTTCTGCTGAACACAAAGGAAGATATTTGTATATGTATTTTTTCCTACTATGGTAGTCAATGGGGAATGAGATCTGTTTGATTAAAACATTCTTCCAAATATCTTCCTTTGTGTTCAGCAGAACAAATAAACACATAGAGGTTTGGAACAACATGAGGGTGAGTAAATACTGACTGAAATTTCATTTTTGGGTGAACTAACCCTTTAAGTGTAGGATGGTTGGGCATCATACTCGACTGGTTGACGTGGACTGTCGTCTTAAAGACGCTGTTGTGATGTCTCAAATTCGAGTAAAATGTACCTTGCTCAGTTCATACATTTTCATAACTCGTGTGTTGGGGGATGGGCATGACACTGACCTGAAATGTAAGGACAGTTCTCCACTATGAGGACCGTCATGTCAGGGTTAGGGTTTGAGGAAAAGCTGTTGCTTTGGGTATGTGTCAGCTGCTGCTTTATTGTGGATAAGATGTAGAACCAATATGCACTGGAAAGGAAATGGTATGTTGATGTTTATAATGTAATGTGTATTGGATTTATTTGACTTTATAGACCAGATCTGCATGTATCAGCCTTCTCTTCACATGTTTTATATGTCTGCTTTGTGCACGACGGAGCCATGAAAGGGCCACTAGATATTAAGGCTGAATCCCAATTCTCTGTCTTACCCCTTCCCCTTCGTCTTACCCCTAGGCCTTGTCCCTCGAAATCGAGTGGTAAGCGCTAGTGCAAACATACCCCTATGAAATGAGACACCACTCGGTTACGTCCTTGGCGTCTATCACCAGGGGCGAAAAGTGTTGATCACAAACTTCTCGTAACTTTTAAGATGCCGTCTGCAAGTATGCTTATGTCGATTGCGTTGGTACTGGAGATTTATTTGCGATTGTCAGCAACAAATACAGGACAGTATATTTAAAGCACGTACTGATGTCTCCAGGGTGACCATACAACGTCATCCTTTTCCCGGACATGTCACCCGGATTTCGGGATCGCTGAAAATGTCCGGGATTCTGCTTTTGCTTTCTGCCTTCACTATTCATTATGTTTACATGCACAAGGTGTTGTTTCAATCGGACTGAATTCATTCATTTAAATCTGTGAATCTGAATGGATTGTTTATCTAATATTCCCGTGTTTTCGTCTCAGTCGGGATCCGTTTGAAGCTGAATGCATCATCTGAGAAGCTGATCACGTACGTGTCAGTGTCAAATAATGTACACATAATGAATGGCGACTGTAGAAAGCCAAAGCTGAATACCGTAAATTTTGGGTGATCTTGAAATGTGGGACTGATTGTGCAAATCAGCAACGTAACGTTAGCATAGCCTAGCGTAGCAAAGTAGCGATTTTTAAAAAAGTTTCAATAAACAACATACAGTAGTTGCAAATATAGCCTATATGTACATAACTGTGTAGAGCACAAAACAAGACTGTCATATTTTTTTTTATCAATCATGTAAGTGAAAAAACTTTAATTTATGGGACACTCTGGATGGTATGCCATCCAGAGTGAAGGAGAGGCAATGCCATCGTTGCCAGTTGCGCAGTGCATTTCTTACCCCTTGGTTTCAAGTAAGCTCATGAAAATTCTTGGTCTTAAGTGGTATATACCCCTTCCCCTTACCCCTAGATCAAAATGAAAATTGGGATGGCGCTTCCTCTCACGTGAACGTGCAAAACTGAGGGGGGTAGGGGTGAGGGGAAGGGGTAAGGAGTGGGGGGTACGGGTGGGGTGTAGGAGTGAGGGGTAGGGGGAAGGGGTAAGGAGTGGGGGGTAGGGGTGGGGTGTAGGAGTGAGGGGTAGGGGGAAGGGGTAAGGAGTGGGGGGTAGGGGTGGGGTGTAGGAGTGAGGGGTAGGGGGAAGGGGTAAGGAGTGGGGGGTAGGGGTGGGGTGTAGGAGTGAGGGGTAGGGGGAAGGGGTAAGGAGTGGGGGGTAGGGGTGGGGTGTAGGAGTGAGGGGTAGGGGGAAGGGTTAAGGAGTGGGGGGTACGGGTGGGGTGTAGGAGTGAGGGGTAGGGGGAAGGGGTAAGGAGTGGGGGTAGGGTGGGGTGTAGGAGTGAGGGGTAGGGGGAAGGGTAAGGGTAAGGGGTGGGGGTGGGGTGTAGGAGTGAGGGGTGAGGGGAAGGGCTGAGGGGTAGGGGGAAGGGGAAAGGGTAAGACGGATAATTGGGATTCAGCCTAAGACTTTGGTTGATTCTAGAATTAGTTGCAGTGACCAATTAGCAAACATCCTTGCCTCAGTGTTGTACCTGTCTTTCTCATAATTACATTAATTGTGTGACGAGACATCAGTGGCTGTGACTGAATGCAGTGTGAATCCTTCCTCATCAGTGAAACAGAAAGTAAGTGAACGGATGTTCCTTCATTGTTTTCTTCTCATTGACACAGGCAATGTTAAGTGTAGGATGGTTGGGCATCATACTCGACTGGTTGACGTGGACTGTCGTCTTAAAGACGCTGTTGTGACGTCTCAAATTCGAGTAAAATGTACCTTGCTCGGTTCATACATTTTCATAACTCGTGTGTTGGGGGATGGGCATGACACTGACCTGAAATGTAAGGACAGTTCTCCACTACGAGGACCGTCATGTTAGGGTTAGGGTTTGAGGAAAAGCTGTTGCTTTGGGTATGTGTCAGCTGCTGCTTTATTGTGGATAAGATGTAGAACCAATATGCACTGGAAAGGAAATGGTATGTTGATGTTTATAATGTAATGTGTTTTGGATTTATTTGACTTTATAGACAAGATCTGCATGTCAGCCTTCTCCTCCTCACGTTTTATATGTCTGCTTTGTGCACGACGAAGCCATGAAAGGGCCACTAGATATTAAGACTTTGGTTGATTCTAGAATTAGTTGCGGTGACCAATTAGCAAACATCCTTGCCTCAGTGTTGTACCTGTCTTTCTCATAATTACAGGAATTGTGTGACGAGACATCAGTGGCTGTGACTGAATGCAGTGTGAATCCTTCCTCATCAGTGAAACAGAAAGTAAGTGCACGGATGTTCCTTCATTGTTTTCTTCTCTTTGACACAGGCAATGTTAAAGGGTTAGTTCACACAAAAATGAAATTTCAGTCTGTATTTACTCACCCTCATGTTGTTCCAAACCTATATGTGTTTATTTGTTCTGCTGATATTTGGAAGAATGTTTTAATCAAACAGATCTCATTCCCCATTGACTACCATTGTATGTATTTTTTCCTACTATGGTAGTCAATGGGGAATGAGATCTGTTTGATTAAAACATTCTTCCAAATATCTTCCTTTTTGTTCAGCAGAACAAATAAACACATAGAGGTTTAGAACAACATGAGGGTGAGTAAATACAGACTGAAATTTCATTTTTGGGTGAACTAACCCTTTAAGTGTAGGATGGTTGGGCATCATACTCGACTGGCTGACGCGGACTGTCGTCTTAAAGACGCTGTTGTGACGTCTCAAATTCGAGTAAAATGTACCTTGCTCGGTTCATACATTTTCATAACTCGTGTGTTGGGGGATGGGCATGACACTGACCTGAAATGTAAGGACAGTTCTCCACTACGAGGACCGTCATGTCAGGGTTAGGGTTTGAGGAAAAGCTGTTGCTTTGGGTATGTGTCAGCTGCTGCTTTATTGTGGATAAGCTGTAGAACCAATATGCACTGGAAAGGAAATGGTATGTTGATGTTCATAATGTTATTTCACTTTATAGACAAGATCTGCATGTCAGCCGTGTCCTCCTCACATGTTTTATATGTCTGCTTTGTGCACGACGAAGCCATGAAAGGGCCACTAGATATTAAGACTTTGGTTGATTCTAGAATTAGTTGCGGTGACCAATTAGCAAACATCCTTGCCTCAGTGTTGTACCTGTCTTTCTCATAATTACAGGAATTGTGTGACGAGACATCAGTGGCTGTGACTGAATGCAGTGTGAATCCTTCCTCATCAGTGAAACAGAAAGTAAGTGAACGGATGTTCCTTCATTGTTTTCTTCTCTTTGACACAGGCAATGTTAAAGGGTTAGTTCACCTAAAAATGAAAATTCTGTCAGTATTTACTCACCCTCATGTTGTTCCAAACCTCTATGTGTTTATTTGTTCTGCTGAACACAAAGGAAGATATTTGTATATGTATTTTTTCCTACTATGGTAGTCAATGGGGAATGAGATCTGTTTGATTAAAACATTCTTCCAAATATCTTCCTTTGTGTTCAGCAGAACAAATAAACACATAGAGGTTTGGAACAACCTGAGGGTGAGTAAATACTGACTGAAATTTCATTTTTGGGTGAACTAACCCTTTAAGTGTAGGATGGTTGGGCATCATACTCGACTGGTTGACGTGGACTGTCGTCTTAAAGACGCTGTTGTGACGTCTCAAATTCGAGTAAAATGTACCTTGCTCAGTTCATACATTTTCATAACTCGTGTGTTGGGGGATGGGCATGACACTGACCTGAAATGTAAGGACAGTTCTCCACTATGAGGACCGTCATGTCAGGGTTAGGGTTTGAGGAAAAGATGTTGCTTTGGGTATGTGTCAGCTGCTGCTTTATTGTGGATAAGATGTAGACCCAATATGCACTGGAAAGGAAATGGTATGTTGATGTTTATAATGTAATGTGTATTGGATTTATTTGACTTTATAGACCAGATCTGCATGTATCAGCCTTCTCTTCACATGTTTTATATGTCTGCTTTGTGCACGACGGAGCCATGAAAGGGCCACTAGATATTAAGGCTGAATCCCAATTCTCTGTCTTACCCCTTCCCCTTCGTCTTACCCTTAGGCCTTGTCCCTCGAAATCGAGTGGTAAGCGCTAGTGCAAACATACCCCTATGAAATGAGACACCACTCGGTTACGTCATCTTACATCGTCCTTGGCGTCTATCACCAGGGGTGAAAAGTGTTGATCACAAACTTCTCGTAACTTTTAAGATGCCGTCTGCAAGTATGCTTATGTCGATTGCGTTGGTACTGGAGATTTATTTGCGATTGTCAGCAACAAATACAGGACAGTATATTTAAAGCACGTATTGATGTCTCCAGGGTGACCATACAACGTCCTCCTTTTCCCGGACATGTCACCCGGATTTCGGGATCGCTGAAAATGTCCGGGATTCGGCTTTTGCTTTCTGCCTTCACTATTCATTATGTTTACATGCACAAGGTGTTGTTTCAATCGGACTGAATTCATTCATTTAAATCTGTGAATCTGAATGGATTGTTTATCTAATATTCCCGTGTTTTCGTCTCAGTCGGGATCCGTTTGAAGCTGAATGCATCATCTGAGAAGCTGATCACGTACGTGTCAGTGTCAAATAATGTACACATAATGAATGGCGACTGTAGAAAGCCAAAGCTGAATACCGTAAATTTTGGGTGATCTTGAAATGTGGGACTGATTGTGCAAATCAGCAATGTAACGTTAGCATAGCCCAGCGTAGCAAAGTAGCGATTTTTAAAAACGTTTCAATAAACAACATAGTTGCAAATATAGCCTATATGTACATAACTGTGTAGAGCACAAAACAAGACTGTCATATTTTTTTTTATCAATCATGTAAGTAAAAAAACTTCAATTTATGGGACACTCTGGATGGTATGCCATCCAGAGTGAAGGAGAGGCAATGCCATCGTTGCCAGTTGCGCAGTGCATTTCTTACCCCTTGGTTTCAAGTAAGCTCATGAAAATTCTTGGTCTTAAGTGGTATATACCCCTTCCCCTTACCCCTAGATCAAAATGAAAATTGGGATGGCGCTTCCTCTCACGTGAACGTGCAAAACTGAGGGGGGTAGGGGTGAGGGGAAGGGGTAAGGGGTGGGGGTGGGGGGTAGGGGTGAGGGTAAGGGGTGGGGGTGGGGTGTAGGAGTGAGGGGTGAGGGGAAGGGCTGAGGGGTAGGGGGAAGGGGAAAGGGTAAGACGGATAATTGGGATTCAGCCTAAGACTTTGGTTGATTCTAGAATTAGTTGCAGTGACCAATTAGCAAACATCCTTGCCTCAGTGTTGTACCTGTCTTTCTCATAATTACATTAATTGTGTGACGAGACATCAGTGGCTGTGACTGAATGCAGTGTGAATCCTTCCTCATCAGTGAAACAGAAAGTAAGTGAACGGATGTTCCTTCATTGTTTTCTTCTCATTGACACAGGCAATGTTAAGTGTAGGATGGTTGGGCATCATACTCGACTGGTTGACGTGGACTGTCGTCTTAAAGACGCTGTTGTGACGTCTCAAATTCGAGTAAAATGTACCTTGCTCAGTTCATACATTTTCATAACTCGTGTGTTGGGGGATGGGCATGACACTGACCTGAAATGTAAGGACAGTTCTCCACTACGAGGACAGTCATGTCAGGGTTAGGGTTTGAGGAAAAGCTGTTGCTTTGGGTATGTGTCAGCTGCTGCTTTATTGTGGATAAGCTGTAGAACCAATATGCACTGGAAAGGAAATGATATGTTGATGTTTATAATGTTATCTGACTTTATAGACAAGATCTGTGTGTCAGCCTTCTCCTCCTCACATGTTTTATATGTCTGCTTTGTGCACGACGAAGCCATGAAAGGGCCACTAGATATTAAGACTTTGGTTGATTCTAGAATTAGTTGCGGTGACCAATTAGCAAACATCCTTGCCTCAGTGTTGTACCTGTCTTTCTCATAATTACAGGAATTGTGTGACGAGACATCAGTGGCTGTGACTGAATGCAGTGTGAATCCTTCCTCATCAGTGAAACAGAAAGTAAGTGAACGGATGTTCCTTCATTGTTTTCTTCTCTTTGACACAGGCAATGTTAAAGGGTTAGTTCACACAAAAATGAAATTTCAGTCTGTATTTACTCACCCTCATGTTGTTCCAAACCTATATGTGTTTATTTGTTCTGCTGATATTTGGAAGAATGTTTTAATCAAACAGATCTCATTCCCCATTGACTACCATTGTATGTATTTTTCCTACTATGGTAGTCAATGGGGAATGAGATCTGTTTGATTAAAACATTCTTCCAAATATCTTCCTTTTTGTTCAGCAGAACAAATAAACACATAGAGGTTTGGAACAACATGAGGGTGAGTAAATACAGACTGAAATTTCATTTTTGGGTGAACTAACCCTTTAAGTGTAGGATGGTTGGGCATCATACTCGACTGGCTGACGCGGACTGTCGTCTTAAAGACGCTGTTGTGACGTCTCAAATTCGAGTAAAATGTACCTTGCTCGGTTCATACATTTTCATAACTCGTGTGTTGGGGGATGGGCATGACACTGACCTGAAATGTAAGGACAGTTCTCCACTACGAGGACCGTCATGTTAGGGTTAGGGTTTGAGGAAAAGCTGTTGCTTTGGGTATGTGTCAGCTGCTGCTTTATTGTGGATAAGCTGTAGAACCAATATGCACTGGAAAGGAAATGGTACGTTGATGTTTATAATGTAATGTGTTTTGGATTTATTTGACTTTATAGACAAGATCTGCATGTCAGCCTTCTCCTCCTCACATGTTTTATATGTCTGCTTTGTGCACGACGAAGCCATGAAAGGGCCACTAGATATTAAGACTTTGGTTGATTCTAGAATTAGTTGCGGTGACCAATTGGCAAACATCCTTGCAGGCAGGCAGCAGAAAAATCAGAGGTCGATATAACAGTCCGAGTCGAGGCAGGCAGCAGAAGAATCAGAGGTCGATATAACTAGTGCTGTGTTGAAAAAATCGATTCACCAATTGTTACGACAATGGACTTTATTTCATTAAACCATTCATTCAACGAACACGTTCAAAAAATATTCATTAAATTCATTTTAATTTCATTAAAATAGTTATTAGATTCATTAAAATAGATGTAATGAAACAACTTCAAGGTGTTAATTATTTTGAACTTTGAGTTCCACTTAAGGCTCAGCTGAGCAGCAATGCGTCGCATGGGCAAATGGCATTGATTCAATGCGTGACTCACTGATTTTATTTCCCCGTGGCTTCCTAGTGCTGTGGGATGCTGATCAGCGCTGCTGCTGACGCGCATTTATGGTAAATACCCGTAACGTGAACGTTAAAAGGATGATTCGACAACTATTTTGCATTCCTTTGACACGGCACGGCAAGCTTCCATGAATACATATGACTTCAAAGACAGACGCAGGTAATCGCACGCGCTCTGCCGATCTGTTTCATTCACTGTCTGTGCGAAGCCTCTGTAGGCTACACATCACCACGATAAACAGTCTCGTTATCATTATGAACTTGTCTAACATTCAATACACATGCATGAAGTTCAAAACAAGAAGGGTATAGCCTTATAAAAAATGTTAATATCAAAGTTCCTGCGGTTACTTGCAATCCTCCTGCTGATTGCCTACCTCTGCGTCCTCTGTCGTCTACACCAGTGCAAGTTAGTGAAAGCAGTTGTATCAACACGGAAGGGGGATTTTTGTTTACAACAATCAATAGAATGATTGTACATTAATTTGCAGTTGAATGTCTATAATAAATTATTACAGGAATGTAGTTATGCAACATATTGATACTATTATTATTAATAATACTATCAATATGTTGCATTGCATAATAACAGTCCGAGTCGAGGCAGGCAGCAGAAGAATCAGAGGTCGATATAACAGTCCGAGTCGAGGCAGGCAGCAGAAGAATCAGAGGTCGATATAACAGTCCGAGTCGAGGCAGGCAGCAGAAGAATCAGAGGTCGATATAACAGTCCGAGTCGAGGCAGGCAGCAGAAGAATCAGAGGTCGATATAACAGTCCGGGTCGAGGCAGGCAGCAGAAGAATCAGAGGTCGATATAACAGTCCGAGTCGAGGCAGGCAGCAGAAGAATCAGAGGTCGATATAACAGTCCGAGTCGAGGCAGGCAGCAGAAGAATCAGAGGTCGATATAACAGTCAGAGTCGAGGCAGGCAGCAGAAGAATCAGAGGTCGATATAACAGTCCGAGTCGAGGCAGGCAGCAGAAGAATCAGAGGTCGATATAACAGTCCGAGTCGAGGCAGGCAGCAGAACAATCAGAGGTCGATATAACAGTCAGAGTCGAGGCAGGCAGCAGAAGAATCAGAGGTCGATATAACAGTCCGAGTCGAGGCAGGCAGCAGAAGAATCAGAGGTCGATATAACAGTCCGAGTCGAGGCAGGCAGCAGAAGAATCAGAGGTCGATATAACAGTCCGAGTCGAGGCAGGCAGCAGAAGAATCAGAGGTCGATATAACAGTCCGAGTCGAGGCAGGCAGCAGAACAATCAGAGGTCGATATAACAGTCCGAGTCGAGGCAGGCAGCAGAAGAATCAGAGGTCGATATAACAGTCCGAGTCGAGGCAGGCAGCAGAAGAATCAGAGGTCGATATAACAGTCCGAGTCGAGGCAGGCAGCAGAACAATCAGAGGTCGATACAACAGTCCGAGTCGAGGCAGGCAGCAGAAGAATCAGAGGTCGATATAACAGTCCGGGTCGAGGCAGGCAGCAGAAGAATCAGAGGTCGATATAACAGTCAGAGTCGCGGCAGGCAGCAGAAGAATCAGAGGTCGATATAACAGTCCGAGTCGAGGCAGGCAGCAGAAGAATCAGAGGTCGATATAACAGTCCGAGTCGAGGCAGGCAGCAGAACAATCAGAGGTCGATATAACAGTCCGGGTCGAGGCAGGCAGCAGAAGAATCAGAGGTCGATATAACAGTCAGAGTCGAGGCAGGCAGCAGAAGAATCAGAGGTCGATATAACAGTCCGGGTCGAGGCAGGCAGCAGAAGAATCAGAGGTCGATATAACAGTCCGGGTCGAGGCAGGCAGCAGAAGAATCAGAGGTCGATATAACAGTCAGAGTCGAGGCAGGCAGCAGAAGAATCAGAGGTCGATATAACAGTCCGAGTCGAGGCAGGCAGCAGAAGAATCAGAGGTCGATATAACAGTCCGAGTCGAGGCAGGCAGCAGAACAATCAGAGGTCGATATAACAGTCCGAGTCGAGGCAGGCAGCAGAAGAATCAGAGGTCGATATAACAGTCCGGGTCGAGGCAGGCAGCAGAAGAATCAGAGGTCGATATAACAGTCAGAGTCGAGGCAGGCAGCAGAAGAATCAGAGGTCGATATAACAGTCCGAGTCGAGGCAGGCAGCAGAAGAATCAGAGGTCGATATAACAGTCCGAGTCGAGGCAGGCAGCAGAACAATCAGAGGTCGATATAACAGTCCGAGTCGAGGCAGGCAGCAGAAGAATCAGAGGTCGATATAACAGTCCGAGTCGAGGCAGGCAGCAGAAGAATCAGAGGTCGATATAACAGTCCGGGTCGAGGCAGGCAGCAGAAGAATCAGAGGTCGATATAACAGTCCGGGTCGAGGCAGGCAGCAGAAGAATCAGAGGTCGATATAACAGTCAGAGTCGAGGCAGGCAGCAGAAGAATCAGAGGTCGATATAACAGTCCGAGTCGAGGCAGGCAGCAGAAGAATCAGAGGTCGATATAACAGTCCGGGTCGAGGCAGGCAGCAGAACAATCAGAGGTCGATATAACAGTCAGAGTCGAGGCAGGCAGCAGAAGAATCAGAGGTCGATATAACAGTCCGAGTCGAGGCAGGCAGCAGAAGAATCAGAGGTCGATATAACAGTCAGAGTCGAGGCAGGCAGCAGAAGAATCAGAGGTCCATATAACAGTCAGAGTCGAGGCAGGCAGCAGAAGAATCAGAGGTCGATATAACAGTCCGAGTCGAGGCAGGCAGCAGAACAATCAGAGGTCGATATAACAGTCAGAGTCGAGGCAGGCAGCAGAAGAATCAGAGGTCGATATAACAGTCCGGGTCGAGGCAGGCAGCAGAACAATCAGAGGTCGATATAACAGTCAGAGTCGAGGCAGGCAGCAGAAGAATCAGAGGTCGATATAACAGTCAGAGTCGAGGCAGGCAGCAGAAGAATCAGAGGTCCATATAACAGTCAGAGTCGAGGCAGGCAGCAGAAGAATCAGAGGTCGATATAACAGTCCGAGTCGAGGCAGGCAGCAGAAGAATCAGAGGTCGATATAACAGTCCGAGTCGAGGCAGGCAGCAGAACAATCAGAGGTCGATATAACAGTCCGAGTCGAGGCAGGCAGCAGAAGAATCAGAGGTCGATATAACAGTCCGAGTCGAGGCAGGCAGCAGAAGAATCAGAGGTCGATATAACAGTCCGAGTCGAGGCAGGCAGCAGAAGAATCAGAGGTCGATATAACAGTCCGAGTCGAGGCAGGCAGCAGAACAATCAGAGGTCGATATAACAGTCCGAGTCGAGGCAGGCAGCAGAAGAATCAGAGGTCGATATAACAGTCCGAGTCGAGGCAGGCAGCAGAACAATCAGAGGTCGATATAACAGTCCGAGTCGAGGCAGGCAGCAGAAGAATCAGAGGTCGATATAACAGTCCGAGTCGAGGCAGGCAGCAGAAGAATCAGAGGTCGATATAACAGTCCGAGTCGAGGCAGGCAGCAGAAGAATCAGAGGTCGATATAACAGTCCGGGTCGAGGCAGGCAGCAGAAGAATCAGAGGTCGATATAACAGTCCGAGTCGAGGCAGGCAGCAGAAGAATCAGAGGTCGATATAACAGTCCGAGTCGAGGCAGGCAGCAGAAGAATCAGAGGTCGATATAACAGTCCGGGTCGAGGCAGGCAGCAGAAGAATCAGAGGTCGATATAACAGTCCGAGTCGAGGCAGGCAGCAGAAGAATCAGAGGTCGATATAACAGTCCGAGTCGAGGCAGGCAGCAGAAGAATCAGAGGTCGATATAACAGTCCGAGTCGAGGCAGGCAGCAGAAGAATTAGAGGTCGATATAACAGTCCGGGTCAAGGCAGGCAGCAGAAGAATCAGAGGTCGATAAAACAGTCAGTGAACGGGGTTTATATGGGTGAGTGTGCATGAGCTGCAGGTGTTTGTAATCGGTCTCAGGTAAGCGGCATGATGGGATGTTGAGCTCATGATGGTTAATATTCTGGTGAAAGTGTCCTACAGTGGTGAAGAGGAGGTGTAGTGGAAGCCTACTCTGTAACAGTAGTAGGGAAAGGGAACTGGGGTCTGATCTTCGTACACCGCTAACAGTGTAAATGTGGTCCTTTTTGTGTTGCACAGGACCAGAGACTAGTTTCCCTGTGTGCTTATCTGCTGATGTTTCACATGGTCCGAAACTGTTTGGATTGTTGGGCTGGAATACATTTTAATTGTTGCTTTTTACCCCTCAGGAAAAAGACAAATGAATCAGGATGAAACTGAGAACTCCAGAGGTATTTAAACATTTGGGTATATTAAAGTTATTCCATGTACATACATATAGGTATACATATGTGTATGTATATGTTTGTTTGTTTGTTTGTTTGTTTTACAGAGACCAAATCAAGGAGAATAGCGAAAAGGCCATGGAGCCCAAATGAAGATAATGCTTTTGTGAAACATTTCCATATTTCAAAGGGACACCTAGCAACAAAGGCAGAGTGTGAGCTGTGCAAGACTGCAGAGGACCCTGTCCTGAGAGAAAGAATGGCCCAAAATATAAGGCATTTCGTGAGGAACCGAGGTTTGATGTTGAAAAAGAAATCTTCTTAGAGTTCTTAGAGAGATCAGTATCGCTGATACCACCTTTAATGTCTGCCTGTTCAAGACATCCTTTTATATACTTTTATTAAACACTGTTTTGAAAGAAATGTACAAATACATGCATTTACTGGAAGGCATTATGTGCTTATTAGATCTCAGTTGTTGAGCCTTTTTTACCATTTGCAAAATAAAAAAAAAATGCCCTTTCAGTTTAATTTTGTTAGTTTTATTGGCTGTCTAGTTGCATTTCTTCATCTAATTGCCCTTTAACTAGTCTTCAGTGAAGTGTAAAACCTGCTGATCTTTGATCACTGACTTTTCTCCAACCAGGCTCATTTTGCACCACATTTGTATATGTTGGCTGATATATGTTAGCTACAGCACATGGTAGCACTTCATTTCGTGTGCGTATTACTTTTACAGGTTTAGTGGCAGCAAAAAGATGCACAATCATTCGTGAATTCACTCTTTAATGTTGAATAGTTGATTTGGTTTTACTCTAATACAGGTACTCCTGCTATGTGTGGACTTAATAGTGATGTCCATTTAAACCCAGTTTGTCCTCATAATCAAGGGTTAGTCAGGTGGTTGTGTGTGTTTGAGTGTGTGTGATCGAGGTCCAGTTAAACTCAAAATGTCCTCATAATCAAGGGTTAGTCAGGTGGTTGTGTGTGTTTGAGTGTGTGTGATCGAGGTCCAGTTAAACTCAAAATGTCCTCATAATCAAGGGTTAGTCAGGTGGTTGTGTGTGTTTCAGAGTGTGTGATCGAGGTCCAGTTAAACCCAAAATGTCCTCATAATCAAGGGTTAGTCAGGTGGTTGTGTGTGTGTGTGTGTGATCGAGGTCCAGTTAAACCCAAAATGTCCTCATAATCAAGGGTTAGTCAGGTGGTTGTGTGTGTTTGAGTGTGTGTGATCGAGGTCCAGTTAAACCCAAAATGTCCTCATAATCAAGGGTTAGTCAGGTGGTTGTGTGTGTTTCAGAGTGTGTGATCGAGGTCCAGTTAAACCCAAAATGTCCTCATAATCAAGGGTTAGTCAGGTGGTTGTGTGTGTGTGTGATCGAGGTCCAGTTAAACCCAAAATGTCCTCATAATCAAGGGTTAGTCAGGTGGTTGTGTGTGTTTCAGAGTGTGTGATCGAGGTCCAGTTAAACCCAAAATGTCCTCATAATCAAGGGTTAGTCAGGTGGTTGTGTGTGTGTGTGTGATCGAGGTCCAGTTAAACCCAAAATGTCCTCATAATCAAGGGTTAGTCAGGGTTGTGTGTGTGTGTGAGTGAGGTCCAGTTAAACCCAAAATGTCCTCATAATCAAGGGTTAGTCAGGTGGTTGTGTGTGTTTGAGTGTGTGTGAGTGAGGTCCAGTTAAACCCAAAATGTCCTCATAATCAAGGGTTAGTCAGGGTTGTGTGTGTGTGTATGCATGATTCATATGGTTACTAATGTCCAGTTAAAACCAAATGGTCAGCAATGTTCATTTAGATATAAAACTAAGTCTTAAACAATCTTCTCTTTTCACATTAACAAAACCCAAACCCAATCAACTGGAAATATTTAGCTTTATTCAAAAGTATCTTTAGACAAAACTTTGTCATTTGTCAGTGATGGTTAAGTAGTAAACTTTCCATTTGTTTTTGTTTTTTTTATTTCTTAATTTTTAATGTTAAAATATTTCCATATTTATTTCACTTTCCCTCATCTCTCTTTGCTCTTCACTCACTTCATACCTGCTTAATCTCACATTACAAACTCAGGTTAGTTTTCTGAAATCTCTCTTAAACTTTAAGCCAGGTTGAACAATTGCTAATAATTATTATTTTATTTATTTATTTTATGCTGGTATTGAAACAGACTTAAGTGATGTGGCACTGCCATGGATAAAGTTAAACTATGATGCTCATCTATAATAATGTGTGTACTAGTAGATAATGTCCAGATAAACCAGGTTAGTCCCCATAATTAAGGGTTAGCTGTGTGTGTTTGTGTATGTGAGTGATGTCCAGATAAACCGGGGTTGTCCTCATAATTAAGGGTCAGATGGGTGTGTGTGCGTGTATGTGAGTGATGTCCAGATAAACCAGGGTGGTCCTCATAAATCATAATTAAACCAAGAAACGCCCACTCCTGCCCTGTCCTCATAGTGCTGTAGTTTGTCAGGTCTTCATATTTCCAGACTGTTTCATTAGAATGAAATTCTGAGTAGTCAGAATTTTACCCCATGCCATAAGGAGCAGTTTAATATTTCTTATTAATCTCTATGACAAAGGGAAAGGTGGGTCCCCATAAACCATGATGGGACTTTTTTGGGGAAAAAGTCCTTATAAACCACCCGTACCAGTATGTGTGTGTGTGTGTGTGTGTGTCAGGGGGAGGGGGGTTTCAAAAGATTGTTGACCATCACAAAATAGAAAGTGGCTGTATGAAAATTTTACCAAAATTTGTAATTTGACAATCAGGGCAATAATTAGGAAATGCCAATCAACTAAAGATGTTAGGAATCTGCCAGAAAGAGGATGCGTGTCTATTTTGCCTGAATGAACGGTGAGGGTGAAAGTTTGAGTAGCCAAAGACTCTTCAAGGATCACAGATGGATAATTGCAGAGATTAGTTGAGTCTTGGGGTCAGAAAGCCAAAAAGTTTCAAGAAAAATCCTCCAGGTGGACCTGGGGGCGTGATGGAGGGCCAGGCCCGTGGAGCAGAAGAGGGCCTGAAGACTGCGGCAGGATGGAAGGCCAGGGTGGAGCCAGCCAGGACGGTGAAGACCCCTTGGGCGACCACGGAGCAGAAGATCCCTCGGGGTAGGTACCCAAGGGGGTAGCTATGGGGTCATAGGCTGGAGTAGGCACAGGCACAGACGATACCGGCTCAGGCACAGGAACAGACGACACCGGCTGAGGCACAGGAACAGACGAAAACTGCTCAGGCACAGGAACAGACGAAAACTGCTCAGGCACAGGAATAGATGACAACGGTTCAGGCACAGGAACAGGTGGCACCGGCTCAGGCACAGGAACAGGAGGTACCGGTTCAGGCACAGGCGACAACGGCTCAGGCACAGGTGACCAGTGTTGGGAGTAACGCATTACAAAAGTAATACATTACAGTGACATATTACTTTTTGCTGTAACGCAGTAGTGTAAGGCATTACTAATCAATTTTCAGTAATATTTTACTCGTTACATGTTCAGTGAGGCTTGTATTACAGTTGTATTACAGTGTATTGTCTGCTTTTACTTCTTAAAGGCAACAGACTGTGTGAAAGTTTTAAAGCAGTCTTTTAGTGCCAGTTCAGAGCGGTCGCGTCTGTAACATTGTTTTTTACTCATAAATGCGAACACGAAAACTAAAATAAAAATGAATATTTTAAGTTCTATGGAGACTGGAGAGCCAACCCTTTCTTATCCGATTTGCGCAGTGTAATTAACAGAATTACAAAAAATATATTTTGCCTCCTATTTTTTTGTCACGCATAAATGTGTGTCTTTTCCCTAATATTAAAAATAAAACATAGACTGATATTTGTCTAATGTCTGGAGTCCTTTAAAGGAAGTAGTCTATATACGTTTCAATACATGAATTTTCTGAGAATTTTTATTTTCAAGTTTTGACTGCAAATGTCATGTCCATAATGCTGGACTTCCCCAATTTTAAATAATTTATCCTCAACTAGTTTTGTGGTGTAGGTCTACGTATTTTATAATGTTAACTTCAAATAATACTAATAGCCTAATTTAAAGATAAGGTAGCATTGGATATGGACGGTAAGGAGAATAACGATGGAGTTGGAAGAGGTGTGTCGCCATTCTGTAGGTTCGTGGATGTGGCGAATCGCGATTTTGGTTTCATATTGCATATCGTTACAGCCCAAAAGTTAAGTTCTACTTAGTTATTTTGGTGAAAGTAACTCAAAAGTAATACATGAGTAATGTAACGCATTACAATTCTGGGACAGTAATATTGTAAGGTAATTAATTACTTTTAAATAACAGTAACAAGTAATACCTAATGTATTACAGTTTGGAAGTAACTTGCACAACACTGCAGGTGACACCAGCTCAGGCACAGGAACAGACGGCAATGGCTCAGGCACAGGAACAAGCGGCACCGGCTCAGGCACAGACGACACCAGCTCAGGCACAGGAACAGACAGCGTGGCTGCAGCCATCTTGTCCGGAGACCCTGGCTCGGCGGAAGTGACGTGAACAGTCTCTGGCTGGGCAGACGTGATGAGAACAGTCTCTGACTGGGCAAACGTGACGAGAACAGTCTCTGGCTGGGCAGACGTGACGAGAACAGTCACTGTCTGGGCAGACATGTCGAGAACAGTCTCTGAATCGCAAGACGTGACGAGAACAGTCTCTGGCTGGGCAGACGTGACGAGAACAGTCTCTGGATCGGCAGACGTGACGTGAAAAGGGTCTTGCAAGACAGGGCTGATGTGGAGCGCAGGCTCTGCAGGGCTGACGTGGGAGCGCAGGTTTTGCATGTCAGAAGACAATGGTA